TTTGTAGGTAAAGAGCTCCCCATCGCTGGAGACGTCCAGGTACCTACCTTCCCCCTCTTCCGCCCGCCCTCTTCCAGCCCTGCGGGTGCAAGGCCTGACCCAGCTGCCCTCCTCAGGAGCATGGCATCGGCCTTTGCGAGGGTGGCCAGGAGTGTGGTCCAGGAGCTGGACCACGGTGGGGAGCTTACCCCTGTGGACAGCCTGCAGAGCTCCACCAGCTTCCAGCTCTACTGCCTTTTGGGCAGGAAGTCCTCGAGTTCACGGTTCTGGAAACACCGCTACACACGTGTCAACCTGTCCATCAGGGACATCCTGGAGCCCGACGCCCCGGAGCCAGGTACCCCACTTGGCACTGAGTCAGAGCCATGGGTCGTGTGGGGGGAGGGGTGGGCAGGCCCGCTGCCACCTGCTCTGGGCCTCTGGGCTCTCTGCTTCCAGAGGAGAGGCACTTTTCAGAGGCCCCTCCACCCGGGCGGACAGGCGGCGGATGGTGGGATGGGCCTCAGCTCTGGTCTTGCTCCAGCGGTGGAGTGTGGCAGCACCTTCCATTTCCACGATGCTATGGATGGGCAGCTGCAGGGCAGCGTGGAGCTGGCGGCCCCGGGACAGGGGAAGTTGTCAGGCGGGGCCGCGGTGTCCGGCAGCTCCAGCGCCTCGATGATCGTGTGCATGCTGCGAGTGGCGCCCAACACCTGGGAAGCCATGCATCGAGAGAGGTGAGCCCTGGGGTGGCGGAGCCCTGCTGAAACTGGGCAGCCTCTGGGTCAGGACCTCGGGGCAGCAGGAGTCACAGGGGGTCTCTGCCAGGCTGAGGGAAGTCCCAGAGGCAGGGGCGTGCTGGGACCAGTGGGCAGGGAAGGAGGCTGCAGAGGTCCTGGGGGCCTGCATCCTGCGGGCCGGGGCGGCCAGGCAGGGCCCTAGGGTCAGGGGTCAGACCAAGTGCCACTGCGAGGGGGCTGGGCTGCTGGGGTGGAGCAGACACAGGGACCTGGGGAGAAGGGCCATTAGCTCAGAGCGGAGACATGAGATTTGAACCAGGGGAGCGGCAGGGACTGGAGGGGGAGCAGCCAGGCGAGCAACCGGCCAACAGGGTGGGCCCCTCCAGAGGTCTTCAGGTGTCCGCCCGTCCCCACTGGACCTTGTCTTTTCTTCCTGCACCCCACCCACTCACGAACATTGTTGGGAGCACCAGGGAGGGAATGATGGGTATCCCGTGCCTGGGCATCCACAGAGCTCTTGGTCTCCTCAGCCATGTCACCGCCCCCGACCCCTATGGCCACAAAGGCTGAGGTCCAGGGAATGGAAGCCCATCCCGTGGCAGGGGGAGGGGAGCGCAGGGTGCACCCCCGCGAGCTTCCCATTGGTCCGCTCACCACAGGCGCTTGCGGCAGCCTGAGCACAAAGTCCTGCAACAGCTGCGGAATCGTGGGGATGACGTGTTCGTCGTGACCGAGGTGCTGCAGACACAGCAGGAGGTGGAAGTCACCCGGACCCAAAAGCAGGAGGGCTCCGGCCAGTTTGCACTTCCGGGAGCCATGTGCTTGCAGGTGTGCTTGCAGGTGTGCTTGCAGGTGTGCTTGCAGGTGTGCGGGGGTTCGGGCTGGGGAGGCAGAGTGGGGTAGACCCCTGCCACCAGCCCCCTGTTACATCTGGCCCCATAACCCAGAGCCCAATCCTGAGCCCATGTCCATCCCTCAGGGCAGAGGCGAGGGCCACCTGAGCCAGAAGAAGATGGTCACCATCCCGTCGGGCAGCATCCTCGCATTTCGGGTGGCCCAGCTGGTTATTGACTCTGACTGGGGTGAGCCAGGACCACGGTGACTTCTGGGGCCCAGACTCCATGGCAGAGAGGCAAAGAGGCCTGGAAGAGCCACCAGGGGTCACTGGGGGCATCTGGTTGCATAACTTCATGGGTCGGGGTGGCCGAGGGTCCCTTGCTCTGGCATTTGGGAGGTTGGGGCACAATGGGGGTACTGCACAGGGGGTCCCAGCTTGGGAGGGAGAGGCCAGGTGCTCCGCCAACCTGCTGTCCCCACCTCTGCTCCTGCCTGGCTGCCAGACATCCTCTTTTTCCCGGACAAGAAGCAGACGACCTTCAGGCCACAGCAGAAAGGTGAGGCCTGTGGACCTGGGCAATGGGATGGATGAGCTGATGAGGCATTCTCCTGCCCAGCACAGCACAGCCGGGGGACGCAGGGACACGCGCGCGCGCGCACACACGCACACACACACACACACACACACACACACACGTGACACGGTGACAGGCTGACACCAGCCTGGTTCGACCTTGCTCCCTGTCCCGGGCTGCCAGTACTGGGGCGGTGGTGACAGGCTGTGAGGGCCGAGGGGAGGCCTCAGGCCTCTCTGGCTTGGAGACCAGCCCTGCCTCGTCCAGGCTACAGGCCCTCCTACATCGCAGGTGGCCAGCCGCAGAGGTCCTCCTGCCTCGCCTCCATGAGATTCTTCTCTGTCCACTTCAAGTTCCTGTCGGGTCAGTACCTTCTTGGCCACCCCCCTGGTGGGCTCCCCTTCTGCCCCACTGTGGTCTGCCCTCCATAACCAGGGCTCCCCGGGGCCATGTGGGCACCTGGGCAATGGCAGCCCTGTCCCCACAGATGGGCCCGTGGAGGACCGGTTGGCGATCACCGAAGACTTCCAGGGCCTGCAGGCAGAAGTGGAGGCCTGGGCCGTGGGCCTGGAGGGCTTGTCCAGGGAGCCTTGTGGGCAGCTGCTAGGGGCCCTCGGGCAGGTGCTGCGGGACGAGGCCGCCCTGCAAGCCCTGGATGAGTCGGTGAGACAGCTGGGTGGGGCGTGGGGGGCGTGCTGTGGGGGGGGGGGGTGGGCGGAGCTGGTGCCTGCGCCCTGCCCCCACGCTCACCCGCCCGCCCCATGCCCTTACCCCCAGCTGGAGCACGGCCTGCGGGGCGGGCTTTTGGAGCCTCGGGATGGTCCGGTGGGTGCTGTCCTCGAGTGCCTGGTGCCCTCCTCCAGAAGGCTGGAGGAGAAACTTGCCGGCCCCGTTTTCTACCTGCTGCAAGCTCTAGCTGGTGAGGGGCTCCGGGGGTGGGACAGGTAGGGGGCAGGAATGTGGGCTTCCCTAGCTGGCCTTCCGGAACCCCCTCTCACCCAAGGTCTCTTCCCAGTGCTGAGTGCAACCCAGCACGTGCTGCTGGCTGAGGTGCTGGAGATGGGGGCCCTGTCAGGGGCGTTCAAACTGGTGAGTGGGCCCAGCTTGTAGGGGAGGGGGTGTGCCGGAGGTGCGGACCCAATGCATCTGGGCTGGGGTGGTGTGGGTGGTGCCAGAAGCCTGGGGGCCCCTCTGACAACCTCCCACCCTGTTCTGCCAGGTGGAGAGCCTTTTGGAGCAGAGCACCCCATGGCAGGAGCGCAGGGCCGTGTCCCTGCCGCCCGAGCTCCTGGGGAGCAGCTGGGGCTCAGAGGCACCCACCTGGGTCCTGCTGGAGGAGTGTGGCCTTGAGCCACAGGTGGGCGCCCCCCAGGTGTGCTGGAAACCGGAGGCCCAGGGCTGTGCGTGTGCGCTTTACGCCTGCCTGGCACTGCTATTCAGGCTGAGCCGGCTCTGCTAGCCTGCAGCCTGCCCGCAGGGCAGCTCTCTAGTCGGGGCAGAGCTCATGCCCACCCAGCTGCCAGGAGCCACACCCAGCCATGTGGGCAGCTCCCCACAAGGCCTGGGAGTTGAGGAAAGACAATAAATGTGATGAACAAAGGAAAATGCTCACTGAGCTTTTGAGGGGCCCCATGTCAGGGGTCGGGCAGAGATGGGGAGGGACCTGGGGGCTGAGAGCAGGCATCTCTCCCGTGGGGCTGAGGGGGCATTCCCTGCGCTGCACCGGACCACTCCGGAGTGAGCAGCCACATGGCCAGGCTCCTGGCCCCCTCCCCCAGCAGGCTGGCCTGGAAAGAATGGGACAGGGTGATTCCAGCCCTCAGGATGGTTCTTTGTCTGCCTCAGGGAACTTGAGAACATACTGATGCAGGTAGCGTGGGCTGTCCTTGCCCTCCGGGGCTGCAGAGAGGACAGAGAAAAGGTGTACTGACAGGCAGACAGATCTGCACTGCTGGGGCTGCACTGGGGCCCCAGGGAAGTGACCCGAACCAGAGAAACTGGCCTTTGGGGTGTGTCTCATCCAAATTAATTCGCTCAAAGGTAAGAGTCTCTCGAGAGGAGGCCTCTGGGCCCCTGGGTCGCAGTCTCTGGGCCTTCGGCAGGGCTCAGAGCCTCCCTGGA